CTCTCATCAAACTAGAGAAGTTTTCCCTCATAAATTTTTCAGATAGGTTTTCAATCCTTGGTTCTTCGTCTTCTCCTAATAGGGTAATAATACCCTATTTTTCGAATATTATTATGTTTCACAGTGTCTTCCATTTCTCTTAATCCCTCTTCATTCTTTATGAGCCTCTTTTCCTATTCATTCTCTTTCTTGGATTTTTTCCTAGTTTGTCCTCCAACTCACTGATCCGATCTGCTTCATCGATCTTGCTTTTGATTCCTTCACTGTGTTCTTCAGTTCAGAAATTTTATTCTTCATTTCCTCTTGTCCCTTGCTGATAGTTTCAATTTCCTTTTTCATGTTGATATAGTTTGCAGTGAGTTCGTTGTAGCTGCCCTGTAGTTGCTTGTAGCTGATTGTGATATCTTTCAACTTCCTGATAACCAGTGCTTTGAATTCAATGTCTGATAGTTGACTTGCCTCTATTTCATCTAATATTTTTTCTGAGGCTTCCTCCTTTCCTCTCATTCGGGGATTGTTTCTTTGTCTTCTCACCGTTTTTGAGACTCTTCTTGTTAGTCTCAGCTTCTTAAATTGATCTGTTCTAACTCCCTGGGTTTGTGCTGTGACCTTCTTTGGTGGAATTCTTGTGAAATTCAGTGGTGCAGTCTCCTTCAGTTATCCTAGTGTTCTCCCCTTCCACCTACTTTTGTGTGTGTGTGTGTGTGTGTGTGTGTGTGTGTGTGTGTTTGATCAGTTGGAGGGGTTGGCAAAATGGTTTATGACAGCGGGAGAGTATTTTATGACATTTACAGTCACAGCTGGTAGAGAAATGATAGAAGATCTTTAGGCTATATATAATGTTAACCATAATCTTCAACCCAACTTGCCACTTTTAGGAGACAATGGACACAAGATAAGTCTCATGTTTGAGAGAGAAGACGAGTGAGTTGGATCTAGAAAGCAGTGAATTTGCAATTGGTCAGATTCTGGGGTGAGGTGAGAGTAAAAGATAGTAAACAGGTGGAATGTGTGTGGAAATAGAGTTAATTACTTCAGTAGTAGAGTTCAGGAAACTGTGAAGTGGACTAAGATCCGGGAGATGTGTTGTGAAGTATTTAAAGTTTTATAGAACCGCTATTATTTACAATAATATTAAAACAACAATCATATGACAGAGTATGTGTTGTGGATAACATGAATAAGGGATACAGAACTTTGGGTAGTGTGCTAAATGAAAACAAGTGGTGTGAAATGTAGAAAATTGGCAATACACTGTGGAGGAGAGAACAGGGGAAACCTGTTAAATGATATAATATAACCAGTCAAGGAAAAGAAGCCTATACAGAAAGAGGAGGTATACAAAGAAACTGTTAAAATATAAAAGAAGTGAGAATAATGACAAAAATAATAATAATACAAATATGCAGCAACTTGTGGCTTCTCTGCTATAGCAAAGTGAAATTTGTCTCTCTGTCTCTACTGTTGGGAAGCCTCTTCTTTGGGCCCAACTCTGGTCTTTTTGCAGTTCCAAATTGTGTCACTTGTGGGTAAAAGAGAAAAAAAAGGCAGGAGAAGGGAGGAAAAAGAGATAAGTTTGAAAAGAATGGAAGAAGAAATAAAACAGAAAAGAAGAAAATAGAGGAAAAAGTATTGAAAGATAAAATAATAATAAAATTAAAAAGATAAAAGATTACTTTTAAAAAATCTCTTGTTTGTTTCAAACTGGCCAAACTGGTTTTTCTGGCTGCAGCAGGCTGAGGGGCAATTGGTGTGGTTTTTCTGGGGGCGATCTCCCAAGAGCCAAACCAATGCCTCTCCCCAGCGCCTTATGAAGGGGTTCTAGGACTTCCACATAGTGCTCTTTTTTCAGGGGTTATCACTGGGGGTTGGGTTGTGGGGCGCTCATGCGCTGGCCAGGCTGCCTGGTTTCTGTGGGTTTGGGCGCAGACCTGTCTCAGTTTTGTGGGCAAATTCCAGGATTTCCACCCAACCTTGGTTTTGCTGCCAAGCTGGATGGGGAGCTGGATGGGGAGCAGACGGGGAACAGATTAACAGGAGCAGGCTGTTACTATAGAAGTCAGAGCCCTACACTGTGTCTCTCAGTTCTCCTGGGCTGGCGACCACAGAGTCAGCAGTTGATCTCAGCCCTTTGTCTTTAGTGCCCTCTCTGCAAACTCTAACAAACAAGTTTCTCCAGGTGCCCAACCTTGTTTGGCCAGGGAGGGAGGGAGCTGATAACCCAGCTCTCTCTCAAGGACCCTTCGGCATGTCCAGGGCTCCCAAAGAGTATGAGAGAGGTGCACCGGAAGTCGTTACTGACTGCTGGACACCAACCAAGGTGCACCTCCGAGGTGCGCTGGGTGCTGTGTGCTGGGCACCTGGCTCTGGGCTGTGCACCAGCTGAAGCCTCTGCTGCTCCTGTCTTTGCTCTGATCCCTGAGACTCTACTGTACTACAGCCATCTCCCTACCATCTGGATCTTCCATGACCATCATGATTTCTGGTCTCTTATTTTCATATATGCTAGGGAACTGTTGGCTGTTTGTGCTGTTCCTCTGTATATCAGCCAGGATTTTCTCCCATGTGTACAAGAAAATGGAATCTACTCCGTCCTACTCCATCGCCATCTTGGAACCCCAACTCTCATCCTGGCAATTTCTTATAGAAGTCAAGCAACACAAATTTAAGACAGCCTACATAATCAATTGTTATTCCTGTTATGTTTATGCAAACAATGAGGCAGAATTGAAACTTAATTTAGTGCTGTAAATGAATTAGCCTTTGCCTGGCTTTTTAAAAAGAAATGAGTGTAATTTTATGTAGAGAAATTAAGTATCAATATATTCCATACCACACAATTATGGACATTAAACTCTACATAAGTTACTAGCCTTCAATGTTTTTTAAATACATTTTATTGATTATGCCTTTACAGTTGTTCTATTCCCCCCTTTATTCCCCTCCACCCTGCACACCTCCTCCCCCAACATTCCTCCCTTTAGCTTATGACCATGAGTCTCAAGTACTTTAGATACTATATTTACCCTACTATTCTTGCCCTCCCCCTATCTATTTTCTACCTACCATCTAAGCTACTTATTTTCTTTACCTTCTTCCCTTTTCTCCTTCTCCCACTCCCCTGTTGCTAACCCTCCTTGAGATCTTCATTTCTATGGTTCTGCTCCTGATCTAGCTGTCCTCTTAGTTTGCTTTTGTTTCAGGTGTGGTTGTTAATAACTGTGAGTTTGCTGTCCTTTCACTGTTCATATTTTTTATCTTCTTTTTCTTAGATAAGTCCCTTTAACATTTCATATAATAAGGGCTTGGTGATAATGAACTCCTTGAATTTGATCTTATCTGAGAAGCACTTTATCTGTCCTTCCATTCTAAATGAAAGTTTTGCTGGATAGAGCAATCTTGGTTGTAGGTCTTTGGATTTCATGACTTGGAATACCTCTTTCCAGCCCCTTCTTGCATGCATGGTCTGTTTTGAGAAATCCACTGACAGTCTGATGGGAACTCATTTGTAGGTGACTGCCCCCTTATCTGTTGCTGCTTCTAGGATTCTTTCCTTTATTTTAATCTTGGCTAATATAATGATGATGTGCCTTGGTGTGTTCCTTGTTGGGTCCAACTTCTTTGGGACTCTCTGAGCTTCCTGGATGTCCTGGAAGTCTATTTCCTTTGCCAGATTGGAATAAAATTCTCCTTTATTATTTGTTCAAATAAGTTTTCCATTTATGGCTGTTCCTCTTCCGCTTATGGTACCCCTATAATTCAGATGTTGGAACGTTTAAAGATGTCCTGAAGGTTCCTAAGCCTCTCCTCATTTTTTTTTTAATTCTTGTTTCTTTATATTTTTCTGTTTGGTCATTTTTTTCTTTCTTCTGGTCCTCTCCTTTGATTTGAGTCCCAGTTTCCTGTCCATCATTATTGGTTTCCTGTGCATTTCCCTTCATTTCAATTAGTTTGGCCTTCATTTGTTCCTCTAATTTATAACTAAAATCAATCAGTTCTGTGAGCATCCTTATCACTAATGTTTTGAACTGTGCTCCTGATAGGTTGGCAATTTCCTGGTTGCTTAGAATTATCGGCTCAGGGGTTTGAGTCCTTCTTGAGCCAAGTTTTGGTCTGTTTGAGCCTGTTACATATGAGGAGGGGAACCTTAGATGTTCACCAGGGTGGGGCCACCCAGGTCAATGGGTTGTGATGATGTATGTTGGGGCAGGGTCAGAGAGTGAGCAATAGTGGTCCCCTCTACTGCTTCCCGCCACTGGGGCCTGCAAGATTTTTCTAACTGCTCACTCCTTGGCTGGTTTTATCTGGGCACGAATGTGTGACCACAGTTAGTCTGCAGCCTTGCGCCTTCACTGGGTCTGCCCATCTCAACCCTACATCTGGGATTCACCCTCGGCTGCCTGCACACCTGGGTCCAGGGATCTTTTTTGCCTGCTCCACTGCTGGCTCCGCCCTTCTTACTGATCTGGCTGAATGGTTCATTGGTGTTGGACCTTCCTATAGTTCAATTTTATGTGATTTGTCTGTTTGTTTTTTGTTGCTAAAACTTTTTTTTAGATTTTGATTAATTTATTTTTAGAGGGGAAAGGAAGGAGATAGGGAGAGAAATATCAATGTATGGTTGCCTCTCGTGTATCCCCTGCTGGGAACTGGCCTGCAACCCAGGCATGTGCCCTGACTGTGAATTGAACAGCGATACTCTGGTTCGCAGGCCCGCACTCAATCCACTGAGCTACACCAGCCAGGTATTGTTTTTAAACTTGGTTGTGTGAGAAGGCATGGTGTTTCCACCTACACCTCCATCTTTGCGGAAGTTCCTCCAATGTTTTTAACTGATAAATGCAACTGGATCCTAACTTTTTCTGTCTTCTTCAACAATATTGAGATTACTCACACAAGTTGACTTTTCCATGTTATAAGCCCTACTTCTTCTTTGGGAGCACCACCTACAGGCACCATCTCCACACTCATCCATGACCAGGTCTCATCTCCCCTCTTACTGAGAGCAAGGCACTCTTGGCTCTTAAGGACAATGAAATCTCTCTTCAGCAGGAAGCAGTTGTAGAAGTCATATGGCATCATGTTTCCCTAATAGGATTCGGAGGCAAAATTCTTGAGTGGGAAAGAGAGTAGCTAGTCAGACAAAATCAGAGCAAGAATGAGAGGCCGGGTACCAATAGTCATAAAGACAGAAAATTCAGGTGCCTGGCTGCAGGCATGTGAAGACAAGTGAGTAAAAAGTGGCACATAGGCAGATGATGAACTCGAATTTTGACTAGGATAATAGATGTGAGGCCCAGAGTCTCCTGTAGACACTTCCCAAACCATCATTATTTCTCCTCGGGAGCCCAAGGTACACTTTGGACTATGTAGTATGTGTAAAACACCAAACTAACTATGAAAATTCAGTATTGGTGAAAGGGGTAATGAGACAAATGCCTCAACAACCATACCTCCAGCCATTAAAATGCCAACTCAGAGATTAAAGTTAACACACTGCTTTCTCTACCTGCATGGATATTCCAACCTTCTGCTGGAACTGGTCTTGTTCTATAACTTGCTGACACAAGAATATTTTTCTCCTAAAAAAAAAAAACAGCTTTATCTCACGTGCCACTGGAGCATGTCCCCTATCTCAGGGTGTTTTAACCTGTTAAGGGAGACAAAGTAGAGACTGCTATTTTCTGAGATATGTAAGTAACTAAAATTATTTGGGCAGATCAGACTAGAGTGATCAATAAACACGCACATGAATGGCTCAAGATCTCCATGGAGAAACACCAGATGATGAACATTTCTTAAGATATAGTCTACTACTTTGCTGGGGAGAAGCTGCACATCAATATGTACTTCAGAATGTCTCCAAGACTTAAATCACTGTATCCAATAAAATGAATATCTCACTTCCTAATATTCAGAAATCTCTGGACCCTCTAGCTAGAGTTGTCTTAGATAATAAAATCGCCTTAGACTACATACTAACAGAACAAGGATGAGTTTGCATCAACTGTTGTTGCTGTTCTTACATTACCACCTCAGCTCACATAGAAACATGCATCACCTAAATAATGCAACAGCTTGCCTTGTGCCAACATACATTGGACCATCACACCTGTCTGTTTGAAGGAACTGGAGACTGGTTGATGAGTCTATTTCCATGAATACCACAGGGAATCAGGTCCATAGAGGAGGGATTATTAATTTAGGTTTAATATTCTTTGCTTTGTAATTCCTGTCTTTATTGGCTTGAAGCCCTTTATCATTTGCTCTTTTCATGCCAGGAAAAGAGAATATGCTAGACATCACCTCCAAAAAATACACCTCCTTTTAACTCACAAGATATTGCTTTCCAATAGGCTCAGAATTTTTATTCCCCCAGAATATTTACACGGCATTGATAGCCCAAAAGATATGGATGAAGAATTGACACAGGAAATATAAAACATGAAATTAAAACCTTATACTGCTGAGACTTACTATGAAATGGAATTAGAAATAGTACTCACTTTAGACACACTCACATACTGTCAGTTTTCATGTAAGCATATTGCCCATGCTACCAGTTCTCATCCTGTTTGTAGAAGAAACAATTTTGACCACAGTTTCAGGTGGCACAGGTTCTCCAATGACAAAAAAAATTGGATGGTACCTACAAGTTCCAGAATTGTTACAGTGAAGATCAGCATCTGGACAAGCAAAGACATTGCCTGCACATCCACAGCCTGTCCCCATGATCTCTCTCTCTTTTTTTTTAATTTTGACACTCTCCCTCCTCATAAAAACCTCCATGCTCTGAGATATTAATTAATTTTGAGATGAGAGTCTCTCATTCTCCTGTTTGCCAGCATTGAAAAAAAACCACTGTCCTGCACATGAGCATCCCACTTTCAATAATTAGCTTTTGAAAATGGGGGCAGCCAGACATGCCTTTGGTTACATCATTATTTTAACTTCTGGTGAAGGCTTCCTTTCTGGTTCACATCAGACAACTTCTGGTTTGGAGGTCATTTTGTGGAAGAATCAGCAAATCCTCTGAGCTTGTTGAGAAATTAGTAACCCCTATCATGGGGCACTCTTATGATGTAAGCATATTCAAAAACCCATTTTTAATACTGTCTTCTTTGGGGATAAGGAATTAAAGATATAAATGGGAAGATCCCATGTTTTCACACCACAGGAATGCCCTGGATATTCTGGAGAAAGGGCGGTTCTTCCACCACCTTGATTTCAGTCCAGTGAAGGGAATTCATGCCCCAACTTGCAGATTGTACAGGTTAAATGTGTAGAATGGCATTGTCAGGTGTTTACTAATTGATTCCATTGCCATAGGAACATAGAACATGCTGGATGTGGGCCCTCCATTGTGAAGGGTGTCTCCACCCTGCTCCCTGTTGTATGATGAGCAGTACTGCTCAGATACAGGGGCACTTTCAAAGTTGTGGCCTCGGGTGAGGAGACTCCTTAGGATCTCACCCTGATTGAGGACTGATAGAATTCTGTGATGTCATGGACTGTGCCATGACCTGGAACTTTGCCCACCCTCAACTTTGCTTCCAGAATGTCATCTCTGATGGTTTTCCAGAGACGGGGACATAGATATTCCTCCTTGACATTCATGTAATTTTCACCAAACACATTTCAATTGTTCAGAAGTTGGGAATTTCTTAGAACTTGCAGAGGAGTCAAGATGGTCAAAATCCTCAAACTTGACCCTGCACAAGATTCTCAGTTACAGCTTCCTGAGCATCCATCACTCAGAGGACAAAGAAGATCCCAATGTGTTCCCTATACAACCCTCCTGCTTATGACTTCCTGCTTTTACACTTGATGACTTGCCTGAACTAATCAAGGCATCACAGTTAAGAACTCATGCCCTGGTGCTCATTACTCAGGCTCCCTCTACAAGCTGGTCCTGTGTATAGTCATTCATGGAGGAGCTGTGTTTACGCTACACTTGTGGACTCCATGTCTTCCAAACCCAGCAGCCCAGAAAGCACTGAGATATTGCTAAGTTCCAGAGACAGAAACAGGCATCTTTCTTGGTTTTCACTGCCTGTGGAATTGGCTCTTACCTAGAAGATACTGAGAAAGTCTGCATTTTCACAGGGTTTTAGACCTGTGTGGTAATTCTCAAACATGTGCCAGGTATGAGCACCACAAAGTCATTTCAGGCACTTCATGTTTATCCTCTTTGTAGACCTTTTCATTGTGTGTTATCACACTTGGACACTGCACCAAGTGAACACCCTTTCTAAAAAACTCTTCACATTAATCTGATTAATTACATAAATCTCTACCATTGTTGTAAATGTACATCACTAACATGTGTGATAAGACATTGTGATGGCCCGGCACTCTGTGCCCCTCGTAGGTGATGTCTCTGCGAGAGCACAGCTCATGGACACAAGCAGGAGGGGGGTGTCTGTCATACTGGTAGAGGAAATTGGGAAGTGCATGTTCCCTGGTTATAAGTTTTCACCATGAGGTGGATGGAGTAGAGGCTGGGGATCTGTGGTAGACCTCATGCCTGAAATAAATCATACAGTGTTGTCCAGTCAGGGATTTGTGGTGGACACATCACATGTGAAGGGTTGTCACTGGGAGAAGATGACAGGAGTGGTACCATGTTAAAATAGAGTTGGAACAGCCATTCCAGACAAACCACCTAGCATGTCTTCCTTGTCCAACCTATGCAGGGTGTTGACCCACCACAGTCACATTTGCACTGGGTCCCAGCACTGTAGTTTACACAACTGTTTGCACAGCTAACAGGGAAGAGACATCTGCTCTGTGGGACTGAAAATTGCAGACAATCTTCTGAATGTCCATCACCACAAGCAGCTAAAGTATATCTTAGATTGTCTTTAATGATAGAAGCTCCTTCCCACTATTCCTGTATCTTCATCCCTCCCAGTCTAACCCCTTGCCTTCAACCCAGTCACAGCAGAATTAGGGTTTCCGCCTGATCAATGATCCCCAACTAACATTGCTTTGTGATTTCAGATGAATATTGGTTGCTGCTCACTTTATTCTTTTATTTCTACAGTACTATTACAATAATTAAAAGGAAAACCTACCCTCAGCAACTACATGGATATTCCTTGGGAAATCATTCTTAGTGAAGCAACACAAGTACAGTTAAGCAAACAGCAAATGGTTTTTCATACAGTGGGAATTGCAGTCAGTTAGAAACCACGGCAGAAGGCAGCATGGTGGTTTCCTCAAGCTTGTAGGAGGAGCGGGGGAGATTCCTTTCCAGGAAGAAGCATCCTGTGATGCAGGGTGGTTAGGTTCCAGAGATTGGGTATCCCTCGCTGCACCTGAGGTTATTAAACAACATGTGTATTTGGTTTGTGCCAAGAGTAGATATCATGTGGAGTTATCACCACAACATGAAAGGATAGCCAAGTCTTCAATTCCAGTGTGATGTTATGAAGAGCTACAACTGCTTTTGTCAGAATCAGAATGAAGAAAGTGCTCTTAAAGGTCTTACCATGACTGGGGATGATCCTACTGGAACATAGACAATGAAGAAGAATTTACTCCAGAAAAGATGCCAACAGTGGGAACAGCTATACAACATACAGAAAGGCACACACCCTCTCTTTTCCACCCTAGTGCAGCGAGTGCATTAAAGACAGGTGTGTTCAAGACCCTAGACTTAAAATAATAAATAGACAAACAAACGAATGAATAAATAAAGTTGAAAAGAAAAATACCTTATCTGGAACTTCAAGCTTCCACAGTGGAAGAAAGTAAATTTCTGTTTCTTAAGCCAATGAAGTTTGTGCTACTTTCTGATTGCAGCCTATAAAACTAGTACAATTTTCATGCCAATAAATCTGAAAGTTTACAATAAATGTTGATATTTATATAAATACACAATTTACCAAACTGATTCAGAAGAAACTGAAAACCCAAATAGTCTATTACCATTAAAGGAATTAGATTTCAAGTTTAAATTTTATCCATAAAGCAAAACTAGTCACAGATAGTTTTACTAGTCTCAAATATTTAAGGAGTAAACTATTGTATTTATTCACATGCTTTCAGAGAACAGAAAAGAGATTCTAACATTTATA